AAGAAACCAAAAGCAATAAAGAAAAAAAAAAAAAAAAAAAAAAAAAATCATGTTGAAGTCAAGCACATCTTAATATTATCCTTAAAGCATTGTAGTTATTTTCAATATTGCTTTTAGAAACCTTTCATTGTAATCAAGGAAAGTTAGAAAAAAAATAAAACTTGGTGTGAATATCTAAACAAAATAGATTGGTAGTAAATTGAGTTTTATATTTTTTTTTTCTTAGAATAAAAATTTCAAAATAGCACGTTTGATGCTGAAAAGGATGCCTACACTAGATTTACCAAGCATGTGTGTTCCGATATTCAATTTAATTAAGTTTTGTATTTTTTTTCAAATCTAATTTTGTAATTTTTTTGGTATAATTTATGATTAATTTTGTAGTATTCGTATTTGTGGTATATTTGTGGATTTGGTTTAAAATGCATAGAATGTAATTTTATTAAATCTTTGGCACATTATAGTTTTTTGTGTCTTTTACTAAACTTCAAAGGGAAAAAAGTAATGGACATGTTAGAGTTTGATCTTTGCAAATTAGCCGCATGATTAATCTCAGTTTTTTCTTCCAGTTAGTCTCATGCCTTTATTAATCCTGCTAGTTCTTTTCTACATTTCTGCGGTCTATTCCACTATCCAATTCTTAATATTATTCTTATTCTATCATATTATTTTGCTATGCTTTAAATAATTATTAAAATAGTAATAGTAATATTTTATTTGACAAATCATTTTTATAGTCTTAACCTCTTTCACTGATTTATTTGAAGTTTGAAATTTTCTGTACCAATATTCTCACAAGATTTTTTCACACGTAAAAAACAGAAGTGATGAATACAATTTGAGCTCTTGTGGTCAATTTTAAGATGTTCATTTTTCATTGATAAAGCAGTGCTAAAGAAACAGTGATAATTTATTAATAAAAAAATCAAAGTTGCACATCACTCTTATAAATATACTCTCTAATTGACGTAATTTATTAATTCCATTTGAAGTTAGCCATCCAAGTATTTATAATTAACTTTAATCACAATACTGATCATTGCTCAACTTCAATAGGTGTATATATTTACTGTATATATAGGCTATTTGGTGGTTTCTAATTTGAAGTCAATCAAATCCATAGCATTCACTCCTTGATTAGTATCAACTACAAAAATGTGGCACACCAAAATACCTCCATCTTTATTGAATCCACTTCAAGTTTAAGGAAGAAAAAAAAAAAAAAAAAAAAAAAAAAGGGAGAAAAACAACAATTTTGAATACTTATAGCACAACAATTACAGCAATCAATCAGATATTCACTGATGGTGCCTAAGGATAAACCACACAATGACACAAGGATTCAATGTATAAATAGCTTAAAATAATAATAAATCTTATTGAATTGTCAAATTGGATTAACATTTGGTATTATTTTCCACTAATGTTTGCCTCTTGAGTATTAAAACAACATTCTTGAATTTTATGGAAATAAACCTTTTCTATGTGCTTATTTAAGTAAATTTTACTTCAAATATTCAATAAATATTCATATATAATTTATGATAATTTGTAATCATTTTTCAAATTTTAATAAATTAAAGGAAAAAATAAAAATAAATGTGGTTTTATAATTGTAAGTGTGCAATAGAGAAGAGAGAAAAATAAATTAATAAGTTTTGAAAATATGTGTGTGCAGTGACTTCAATAGATGATGGAAACTGATGAAATTCTAAAACTCACTAAAATCTTGTACGTTACAAATGCTGATTATTTAATAATGTGGGTTTCGCTTTCAATCTTCTAGTAATTCGGATGAAAACCATCATTAAAACACTTACATAAAATTTTGTAAATCTATCAATTACAGGTCACCAACATTATCCAAAATAAAAACTAGAAATCAAAGAATGACAAGATCAAGTAAACACAAAACTAATATATATATATATATATATATATATATATTAAGTATTTACAGTACCGTTCTAATAACATGTTTGTAAATACCACATTCTTTGATTGTCAAACAAATGAATATAGATTTAATATTCAGTACGCATGAAGTCCAATATTGATAAGTGTTTTAAAAGGCATTTATAGTATAAAAAAAATGAACTTGCTAAATAAAGTGAATGGTGGTTGCATCTTCCTTCCTCATGAACCCAACCAAAATGGTGGGTGGTTGCATCTTCCTAGGAAATCCTTCATCAATTCCTTCTTATCAATATTCCACTGCAAGTGAATTGGTCCACTTGTTTTCATTGTTTCAATAACAAGTAAATAAACATTAAGAATCTTGGTTTGTTGTGAACATGACTAAGAAAATTGTGCAAGTTGTGAAGGAAGAAGATATATTTCAGAAAACGTACAAAAGCTTGTGAAAAAGACTGGGGTGGACACAAAGCTCGTTCTTTCTGTAAACAACTATTTGAAAAATGAATACAAAAATTGTTCACCTCAGCCAAATGTAAACATCTTCTTCTTCTTCTTCTTCTTCTTCGTCTGGTATTTTGTAAAATGAAGTTGCTTGTGGATGCAACACGCTCGGCGACGCTGTGTACGAGCTCTAGGTAGACAGTCGCGATCCGTAAGTACCAAGAGTTTTTTTTTTTTTTTTTTTTTTTTTTTTTGTATGGTTTCCTTTGGTGAGAGATGGGTGTTGGTTTGCTTTTACGTCATCTCAAGCAAAAGAATGACAAACAGAGCCGCGATTGACTTGCAGGCGAGCTCTCCTAATCAGATCCAGTGCATGGCATCGGAGCTTTTGCCGCGTGAGCTTCCAGATAATTCGCAGACAAAAACGCGAGTTCTCTGTTACGATTTTTTGTGATGATCCCAGGACAGAACAGCAACAAAACAGATATATATACTTTGGAAAAAGTGAGAATTCAGTGGCCTTTTTGGATCCAGGAGGCATCACACCATTTAGACAAAGGAAACTCAGCACTTTTTGTGCTGCTTTTTCATTCTTTTTCATTCTCATTCCCACAAGCCACATGCTCGTTCTGAACCCGAAGCAATAATCTAGATATATTGCACTTGGTTTATAAATCATTGTATATTACTATGACATTCCCCACATTTTTATTTTTATTTTTATTTTTTTAATTCTTGTGTAGAAATGAAAACTCTCATTAACAGTCTCGGCAAAACCAGCACAGAATCATGTATTTTCATGACTAAAGATGACAACGTGACAATTTGAAGGGCCTCATATTAACCTGCTTGCTTCAACCTAAATCTGATCCCAAAGTTGCTTGCTTAAGAAGTGAACTTTGACGGAGCGTTGTTTCCCCGAGCATGTGGTTGCAGTCATAAATTGGATAATACCTCGTTTCCAACACGATTCTCAGGATTTTTATGAGATTTGGTGAGCAGGTAATATGCTGCAGAACCTGAAGCTGGAGTAAGAAGCATTGCGAGGATCTCTGAACATGGGAATTGCGAAGGCAACCTACTGATTTGGAGGACAATATTAGCTCCAGCAAGCGATCTGCCCCCGCGCTTCTCGAACCACCATATCGAATTCAGCAGCGCGGTTCTGAATGCCTCGAACCGTGAATGTCTAAAAAAAACGAAGTTGGTGGAGCTGATGGAACAATGCGATTAGGATGCCACTGCTGGATAAGTGGCAGCTTCCACTTCTACTTCTCCTTAAGTGCACATCTTCGACGCTTCCGGTGTTGCAGGTGGTTAGATCTGGGTGAAGTAAATAAGAGGATTGTGAAACTCTGAAGGATCTTCCAGCCTTGAGGGATCAGCAAATTCTGGCCAACGATGAAATATTCACCACCCGGCTTCAAGATTACAATCTGCGACAATCTCGTTGCAAAAGAGATATCGCAAAGTAAAAAGTAAACGAAGTTGCTCGAAGGAAGTGAAAAACACGTAAAACTTTCCTGAGGGATGAAGATTCTCAGGTTGAGAAAGATGTGGAAGGGCAACGCACATCACGCCTCTGGACTAATAATAACAACATGAATGCCTTTGTAGAATTCAAGTTATTGTTCTGTCAAACAGTCCAATATCACAATGATCAAATGCACGAGCCCAGAAATACCTTTGTATAATATAGAAAATTTTCCAGTACACGGATTGGATTATTTTATTATTATTATTATTATTATTATTTTTCCAGCAGCGGAGGGGCTGCGATGTTACTTGGCTAGCTGTTGCTCATGGTGCCTCGTGGTATCGGAGCTCGGCTGCGAGTCACCAGGAGTCCCCCTCATATTGCGAGCTATTAATCGATCTTGCAGTTGATAAATTTGGCAACCCAGGAAAGTTCAGGTATGGGAAGAGGACGCTCGTCAGCCAAAACTAATTCCTTCTATTCATCCACAGTCGTTACTGTTCTTGCTGATGCAAGCGTAGTAACAATGGACAAAAACCACAGCAGAATACTATAATTTGCAACAAATGGTTGGTAGAAAGCAAATGGTTGTCTCATGTGTGCTTCTGATTTGCGCTGAGAAAAAAACTAGAAAACAAAATCTGAGAACATGTGCTGATTTTTCTGCATGACAACACTTCAAAGAGAAATATAAAATATAAAATAAAAATCAGTATAATTAAACATCGCTCTCGAGCCGACAATAACTAATTTAGACGTGCTATTCAAACAGGGATGCTATAGGCTATTCGCATTATTTATCTGTTTTGTTTTTGTTTTGCTTTTTCGTTTTGTTTTATTTTTAATTTTTAATTTTTTTCTTTAGATTGCATTCATTTCGTTTTGAGGGTTACCATCCCACTTTCACTCAGACTCTTTTTTCCAGATCGACTTTCCTTGCAGGACGAGATGTGAATTAGTCCTTCGCTTGGACGGGACACATCGCAGGAGGAAAAACTTGCAGACTAAACCTGGGTGTAGATCGTCACAAGTAGCTGTTTATTTTCTCAATTTAGGAGTTGCTCGTAGCTGCCAATTTGCTGCACCCCAGACCCGACCCCAACGTCTGAAGCTCTGGGCCAATACGAGCCAAACCGAGTCAATCTGGAATTCTTCGTCGAGTATGCGCAGAATATTTACACACCGAATAAACATGGGCAATCGACGCTTTTGGAGTGAAGCAGAGGTGATTGTCGCCTGCAGAGCGACGGGCTCGCTGAAAGTGTTGCGCGGGAAGCCTCTCGTCAAGAGTGTGAGCGGCGTCCTAGGGGGTAGAGTCACATGCGCCTCTAGACCAGTTTAGTTTTTCAGTGCGGGCACTGGTCGCCATTATCAGCACAGCAGTGGTTGCCCCGAGGCCGCCGTCCCTAAGTCGACGGGGCTCCCTCCCTCTTTCCCACTCTAGATCTCACACTTCTAGTAGTGGTTCTTCATCTCACTCCTGGATGGGCTGAAGCATTGCAAGCCTCATCAACCAGGCTGTGTGTGTGCGTGTTGCTTCTGCCGCGTTGTGGAAGAGTCTTTCGACACTGCCCCCTCAATGTGTAGTTCTAGAGGTTTTAGACCAGGGGTTGAGCTCTCAGGTTTTGGAATTCAGAGGACCTAGTGGAATGAGGGCTCGCATTGTGTTTCGCAGATGAAAGCTTGGTTTTGGATTTAGCTCCGAGGTTAAGGTTCGAGAAATCAGCTACGGTTCTGCAGCTGCTGAAGACTTTGCTTAGGATCTGGACATGTTTGAATAGGTAGTCCGATTGTATGAAGCACCTTGCTTGTCTTTCACATCAAGCAAGTCCACTTGTATCTCAGTCGTGATAACGTAGGTGGTAGCCATGAGAGGGTTTAAGATATCTAGGGCATTGTTGATAATCGCTCTCGTGGCTATTTCCACGACATCTGTGAAGGGACAAGGTTTCCCTGAGAATCCCATTATTAAGGCTCCAGCGGTAGCTCCAGTGATCGCTCCCCTTGCGCCTGTTTCTTTCGCACCCGCCCCAGAGCCTGCGCCTCTGTGGCCCCCTTGTGATGGCGTTGATATTGTGTACACGAACATGTACGCGGTGAAGATCTACCCTTTCCTCAATGATACTCCCTGGCTCCAACCTTACAGATTCGAGTCCGCCGTCACGATCACGAACATGGGGTACTCGACAGTGGAAGGCTGGGCGATTGGAATTGATTTCCAGAACCACGAGGTGAGAATTATGCACCCACTGATAAAACCCAGTTTTTTGTAGATCTTTTCAGACTTCATAGTTTTCGTTATTTTGAGTGTTACAGTTTATTGGTGCTCTCATCGCTGTTCACGTCCTCACGTATCGTGCATGGGGTAGATTATTGTAGATGCCGAAGGAATAGTGTTGGAAGACGGGCGCCTAATGCCAGTCGACGTCTCTAACGGTACCATCCTCACGCAAATTCCCGCTGGAGTGTTGAAAAACGCTATCGAGACAGCTGGGGACATGACTCAGGTTCAGAAATCTTTCATCATCAAAGGGACGGAGTTCGGGGTAAAGTTAAATCCGATGCCGCGGAGCATTAACATCACTCAGAAAGGATACAACTGCAGCAAGGCATTGCTCTACGGAAGTGAGTGGTTTTTTCAGAAGCTTTCATTAGTTCTGGTAGAACCTCTCATTATGTACCGATCTCGCGTGCTGTCAGTTAACAGCGGAATTAGGATCCAGATGAGGTGGCTAACTGGGAGTTCAATTTGCAGATAATACTATGCACACATGCTGCTCAGAGCCAAACCGGAACATAACCTTGACTGACGACGAATTCTTCTTGCCTCCTGAGACGGGGAATATCACCATCACCTACGATGTCACTCAGGCTTATCCCGGCAGCTACTTGGCACATGTAAGTGCTAAACACGAGTCATTGTGCTTATCTTATTAGACTAATATGACGTCTGCTCAGAGTACAGTGGCTGCATTTGGGCTAAATGAGTTCAATGCGATCCACACTCGCAGGTAACTATCTCGAATGACAGTCCAATTGCGCGTCTGGACTTCTGGAACATTTCCTTCACGTGGCAAGAAAACGAGTTCATAACGAAGATGATGGGTGCTACAACTCGAGAAGCCGACAGGGAGGTATGCTTGAACGGAATTGCAGGGAAAACTTACACCGATCCGGACATGAACACGGTTCTTAGCTGCTCCGTGAGCCCCGAGATAATTGACCTTCCGATGGAAAAATACAACGACACTCAAGTTGGTAGGATCGAATATTGCTGCAGAAACGGAACCCTTTGGCCAGCGTTGCTTGATGAGAAGAAATCTAAGTCCGCCTTTCTTATGAACGTGTTTAAGGTTCCTCCCATGAGCAATCAGCTGAATCACATCATCCCTCCCGGCAACTGGAGGATTGCAGACGGAAGGTTCAAGTGTGGTGTGCCACGCCGAATCAAGCCTACAGCTTACCCGGATCCTTATGTGCTCCACGAGACCACTGCCTTCAAGACTTGGCAGGTGAAATTTGCGCTAGTTGTATTTGGTATTTTCGTTTGTGTGGTTTTCGATTTAGGATAAAGTGTGATTGTTCATTCTGTATGTTGATGTAAATTGGTGATCCTCGGAGCAGGTGACGTGCAATGAGACTGCAAATAAGCCCCCTCCTAAGTGCTGCGTCTCCTTCTCGAAATACACCAATGATTCCATCGTCCCGTGCCGCACTTGCGCCTGCGGCTGTCCTGCGAATCCTCAACCAGCTTGCAACCCCAAAGCCTCCGCTATGTTGCTCCCGTACAGTGCCATCACAATGCACCCAGAGAATCGAACAAGGCAGATCCTCGCATGGGCCGACATAAATCACAACAAGAACATTCCGAATCCTCTTCCTTGCCAGGACTATTGTGGTGTCGCCATCAACTGGCACGTCGTGTCTAATTTCACTGGCGGGTGGAGTTCCAGGATGACGCTCTTCGATTGGTCGGACACGACGTACCCCGATTGGTTCACCGTTCTTCAAATGACGGGTGCTTACGACGGATTCCAGCAAGCGTACTCCTTTAATGCCACGCAAATGACTATCATGAATGGAACGGCCCCCGACAACACCAGCATTATGGTCACGGGCCTAGAAGGCTTGAATTATTTGATGGCTGCTACGAACCGATCCGCAGGGAAGTTGCAGTCCGTGTTCTCCTTCACTAAGAAACTTACTCCGAACATGCGTGAACGCGACTACTTCCCAGAGAAGGTCTGGTTCAACGGCGAGGAATGCGCAATGCCGCAGGGCTTTCCATTGTCAAGTGGAGCTATTCGGACTCGTGGTGGAGCTTTTGGCATGGGGATCTTGGTGTGCTACATTCTCGTCTCTAATCTCTTCGGCCTCCTCTAAGGTCTCAAGAAGTGCGTGTAAAGAAGAATTCGATCACGTCATCTGGTACAATATGGTCGGGGTACAATTCCAGATAGCTAGAGGGTAGTACAGAACAGATTGATTTTTAAAAATTCTTTGGGCATTGCTGCAATGGCAGTATCAGGAACCCAACCCCACGGCCCTCGAGTTGTATAGTACATGAGACGGAACACAGATATTTTTTGTCCATCAGGCTGGGCTTGTTCGTGCCTGTTCCAGCAGCGATGACGAGTGGGTAGCGCTTGTACACTGGAGGTGTGCTAGAGCCGGCATGGAAACTCGCCATGCCAGGTGTGCCCTAAAAATTCTTTTAATCTGCCCAGTAAACACGAGGACAAGCATTTTTCTGCAGTGTCTACTACTTTCTTCCAACATCCCGCTTCTGATGACTTATCGCGTGAGACTTGAGCCCTTGTCAGCAGCAAGTAGATCTAACTGCGGAATGCCCACACATCTTTCACTCCAACCTGTTTAGAATCTTCACAGTTGGATCTGACACACATTTCGACATAACGCCCTCTTCACACCTCACCCAGCAATTCGTCATGTGGCCATTCTAGACAATCACTTCCCACCTCACAGTCTGCTTCAAACATGTGGACCCCATCACCCGAGGAAACGTGACGACGGTTGCAGTCATCACTGTTATACCAACCTGAATCCCACGTTGACTACCCGCACCATTTACGCATGTTGTCAGACCGGATGTACGCATGCCGCGGCAGGCGCTTTTACTAGGATTACAAAAAGTAGCATAATCACGGGACCATAGCATCCAAAGAAAGAAAAGGAGCAAGTAAGTGGGTAGCAGCGCTTAGTGGCAGGATTAGTACACTGGGCGCCATGAAGGGGCGGAAATGCGATGGCGCAGATTGATTGTGTGAGAGAAGGAGAAAGGCAGGAAGGGTGCTCGGCAGGAATGGCGGCGTTGTGGTTGATACGATTCATTCAAATGTGGGCTGCGCCACGCCTCCATTCCTGAGGCGAATATCCCGCTTCACCACCCCCCTCTGTTTCAAAACTCATGCAGTGTGTGTTGAATTCTTATTTTGTGTCCACGACTAAATTAAACAACGAAAGAAGGGGCTGTTTAATGGTTTAAATTCCAGCTGTGAAATATCTGTTCTCATGCATGTTACAACACAGACGAAGACTCCTCTAATGTTCCAAGAAATAATAATAATAATAATAATAATGGTTAATCTAATTTTTTGAAATGTATGTCTTCTTTTATATTCAGAAAACTATACAATATTATGACAAAATTTGAAGAGTAATTTAAGAAACATTTTCTTTTTGGAGGTTGTTCCTACATTGTAAATTTACATCTCTTAACTAATTTTGCCTGCATAATTTATACAATTCCTATTAAGCAAAGTTATATATCTATATATATATATATATATATATATACACATTGGAATTATAGATTTAAAAAAATGACTTCAAGAAATGCAGTGATAATTTGTATAAACATTGTTATGTTTAAGTCATGCATTGGGACTTACATATTAAAAACTATATTAGCTTACCTAAATTTATATGTTATAAAAAATACATAACAAAGTTCAATCATATTGAACTTATTCCTTTATTATTATTTTTATAGTATAAACAAACTTCTTTTAGTTATAAAAATTTTGATTATATACTATAACTTTTTTCTAAAATTTGTGTATGTGTGTTTTTATTTTTATTTTAAAATAATAGCAGTTTTATTCTATAACTTTAATGTGTGATTGCAGATATTAAAAAAAGAAAGAAGAAAAAAAGAAGACAAATACTAATTGATCAATTTTATCAATTTTATTTTTTCCTAGATAATCTTATGAAGTGTTTTAACACATTATTATATAAAAATAAAATTAGCATAATTTAGATATAATTCAATAGTATTTTTGAAATATTTTTTAAGTGACCTACATAAAATAGCAAATATAGTTTTACATGATATTATATTATTATATTTAAATCCTATTTTTTGGAAAAAAATAAACTATAAAAAATAAAAAATAATAAATAAAATAACATAGATAAAGTTAGAAAATTCGTATAATACTTGATAGATGTCAAAACACAATTATATATTAATGCCAAATTTAATTGTCACATAGTGTTTAAAAGAATAATCATTAAAATTACTGCTAAGATTTTTAAAATAATTTAAATGGCAGAAATAGTTTTAAAGTATATTCTTAGTTTAAGTCTACTATATAGGTTCATAATGCATACAAAGATTTATGATTTCTTTTCTTTCAGAAATATTCAAAATAAATAAATAAATAAATAAACAACAACAACAACAATGACAACAATGACAACAACAAAGAGTGATGTAAATGATTTGTCCACCTTTTAATGATAAGGTATATATTTTAGACTAGATATTTTTTGTTATAGAAGTGCAAGATGATGATGTGCAGTAGATACTTCTTTAACTTTGAATTTTTTCAGTAATATAACTTAGATGAAAAACTATACTCAATTATAAAAAATGATAATAATAATAATAATAATAATAACATTATATATATATATATATATATATATAAATTAATAAATTAGATGTGGTTTAAACCATAATTTTAAATCATATATAAATAATAAATAACTTAAAACATATAAAATAGTTAAATTGATAATTAATGAATATTTATTTTTTTAATTATTGTGATTTTAATGTTATCTGATATTGATACATTAAAAAACATAGAAACACTAAGAAATTAAATATAATTTAAATAAAATAGTTTTTATAAAATTCTAAAGTGTGAATTTAAGATTTTTTTTAATTGTATATAAAATTTTAAATTATCAATTAAAAAATAAAGTTACTAATATTATAATTTTTAATATTAAAAATATATCCAAAATCACATTGCAAGAAAAAATTAAATGCAAGAAAAAAACAAAAAAACAATATATATATATATATATATATAATTTAAATATATTTATTTTTATAATGTATTTTTTATAATGTTTTAATTTTACCACCTTTATTGTAATCAATTCTTTGTCATGTAAAAAGTCTACCTTATTTGACTTATATATTATTGATTATTTTATTTTACTCTTTTGATATAATTGGGATTACATTTGAAAATATTTACTTTATAAAATAGTAACTCAAAGTAATTATACTTTAATGGCACATATAAACATTCTATCTTCTACATATCAATTATAAGTATGAATATTCCATTTTAAAATTGAGTTGTTCAATACCTCATAAACAATCTTAGATTGTAATAAATCCAAGTCTTATTATAATTACTATGTAGATTTACAATACTAAATAGAAGTTTAAGATTTTTGCAATCTAAGATATTTTATACATAATCCATTAAATTTATAATATAAATAAATAAATAAAATTAATAGAGTATTTATATAAAAATTTCAATATGTATATCTTCAAAGAACCAAGTTCTTTAGACATTACATTATATGTAATGTTAAAAAAACTTCTATCTTTTAAGAAGTTGTAAAAGAACTTTAAGAAAGTTGTTAATAAGGATATGTATAATGTTTTGTAAAGATGGATATGAGAAATTTCTCTTCATGAAAAAATTGTTGAAGTAAGAAAAAAGTAAAAAAAAAAAAAAAAAAAAAAAAACAAAACAAAACAAAACAAACAAACAAACAAACAAACAAACAAACAAAACAAAACAAACAAAATCAAAACAAAACAACTCGTGGTCACATTCTTGAATTTTTAAGTATTAACAGAAAGAAAGAAAGAAAGAAAGAAATATGTTTATATATATACATATATATATATATATATATATATTAAAATTTACTATTTCATAAAATCTTGATATTAAAATGGAAGAAAAAAAACGTTATGAATCACTTTAGTTTTTATTGATCTGTTGCAATAAAATCTTTGAAAATGTTGAATATTTATAAAGACACATTGCTACAAAATATATCCTATTTTAATAACTAATTTTTGTGCAACGTGTAGATGTCTGTAAAGTAATTGCATATAAATACTAGCCCTCAAAGAATTCTGTAACTAAATTTTAAAGCATACTAGGCATTTTCATAAAGAGTAAAAATATATCTAAGAGTTATTTTAGTATTATAGAATAAAAGGATCTATAAAATTTCTATAGATAGTTCTATGAAGAATGATTTAAAGTCTACTTCTGGTCTTGTTTTTTTTAATATTAAATTTAAGTTTTATTATTAAAATTAATATCATGTTTATAATGATAGTAGAATAATTGTATTATTATTTTATGATTTCCACCTTAGTATACTAGAGAATTTCCATAGCACATCTCTTTTCATTTAGAAGAGGATATAATATTATCACAAAATCTGAAAATTTAATTTTAGAAACAAATATTTTAAAAACATTTTATATAAGACAAGCAAGCATTTTTATTGTCATACTATTCTATTGTGTGTTTTAATAAATTTATTTATTTTTTATTTTATTTTGAAATTTTATAAAATAATTATTATCTCATTAGTGTTTATTATTTTCAAAATGGTTGTTTTACCATTGTATTCTTATTTATCAAAACTTTTGTTGATACACAACTTTCTAATGAAAACTACAAATGTGATAAGTCTTAGAGAATTTGAGGCAAGTGTAAATTAAAAACCTTTTTTTCTTATTTATTTTATTATTCAACATTGCATACCTCTAAATCTTAGCTTCTATTTTTTCTAAGCTACTTTATTGATATTTTCTTTACCAAGCTAAAATTTTACAGATATATGTATGTGTATGTATGTATATATATAAACATGCACACATGCAGACATACAGAAAGGTTCAAATAGCATGATCACTTTTTTTTAATTCAAAATTTAAAATTTAAAATTCTTCATTTGTGTGAAATATTACTAATGGTTGTAATTGAGGGAATTCATTTCATAAAAAGACACCAGAATTGTGTGGCATCATGCTGAAGGAGGACAGCTGTCCAGTGCAACCCCTCCACGTCACCCATCCCAACAAGACGGGTCAGCATTGCCGAGCCACGTGGAAGATGACCTGAGCACAATGGCAGTTCCTCCACGCGTGCTTCCCGCCAAACGCAATTACCTCGGCATCTGGCGGCACCGGACGCCTGCGCGCGTCACCCTGCGGGAACCGGCCCGACCCAGCCCGTTCCAAGCTAACCCAACCCAACTCAAAATGGAAGACGCATTGGCTGTGTTGTTGGGCGGGCCAGAATTATCTCGATCCCACGCATTCCGATTTGCTTGCAATTCCAAGCTCCACACGAATCTGTCATGAACCAAGCTCGGATCCAGATGGAAACGATTTCTGGATCAATGAAACGAGATCGTCCACTGCTCCTCCTCCTCCTCATGAAGCCTGCTGCTGCTGCTTTTGCTTCCAGGCTTCGTTACCTTTGAGATTAGCGGCTTTGTTAGCACAATCGGAGGGTGAAGGGTGGCGTATCATCTCGTGGCTGTGCGTGACGGGAGGCGTTGCCGGCTGTTTTTTTGTGGCAGAGATGTGTTCTGAGTTGGGTTTCTGAAAGAGGGGAGTACAGGGATTCGAGGAATGTGGGAAAGGGAAAAGGTGTAGCGGGAATTAGCAGTTGAGTGTAGAAGTGGACATGGCATGGGGAGACGGGAGTGTGAGAGCGTGGCTGAGACGATCGCGGGGTGGAGGAGCATGGGACGAGATTGAGGTGGAGTCTGGGATTGTTGCAGCTCGGGAGAGGTGCCAGCCGCGGAGGGTGTGCAGCAGGCTTGGGTTCTGTGCTGTGTTGTTGGGGGCGCGAAACGGTTGCTGGGAGCGTTCGTGAGTTCAGGTAAGGTTGAGTGCCTGTTAGTTTCAGTTACCAATGACTTGGGGTGTGTGTGTTGAGGTTTGGGAGGAGGGAATTGCGTCCGGAATTGATGTTGATTGGTTTGGAAACGATAAAAAAGCAATGAGAATATGTAGGGTTGTTTTTGTTAATATTTTCTTAAAATTGTTGAGTTCCTTGTCATTGTCTGACATTTACGCGTGTCTCTCTGAAGAGCTTAGACACAGGTCAAGAAGAGAACGAGACCTCTGGAAACGTTTCTTGTTCAATTGCTGCTCTTGACAGGGGCACCTTAGAAATTGGACCTTAAATGTTTTTTTTTTAATTTATTCTCTGTTGTAACGTTAGTCATTCTCGGATTTGGTAGGAAATCGTATATTTATCGGGGGTTCAAGCTTCACACGGCTCGTATTTAGTATTCATGAGTGTTGCGATCTAGAAATGTGAATTCATGATGTTAGCTTTGATATAATATTACAAAAATACAGGATTTCAACTGTGTCGCTTAGATTTCATAATTAGACATAGGCATATCAGCCGTTTTAGGGTACGAGAATCACAGAATTTATTTGACCACCGCAAGCTTCACTGGTAATTGAACATGCACATAGCTTTAGAGCCAGAAATATTTCTGAAAGGAAAAGTTGACACTACTAGCTTCAGATTGCTTTCGGATTTTAAGGGGCGTGAAGGTGTACGTGCCACTACTTTTTTTAAGTTCAAGCAGTGGTCACCACTCTCTATATCTTAGATTCGTGTCCAATTTCTGAGATATGTTATGACTCTCGCCTACGCTCAAAATGATTGTTGGGACTGCAATTTTGTATATGTTGTATGGAGGTTGTTAATTATACGCTCATCCTTGTGGTCACTTTGTACATATCATTCAATTTATAAGTGCCATTGGTGCCAACAGACGAGGGAGAGGTTGGAGTACAACACTTGTGGAGAGCGGCAATTTCAGAGGCGGAATGGGGGTCTACACCGATGAATATGTGGTCGTGCGTAGGGGCAGGAACCCTGGGGATCCGAGTGAGATAACTATCAATTGTCCTGATAAAGTGGGACTTGGTTGCGATCTCGCCCGAATCGTATTTGAGTTTGGCCTAAGCGTTACGAAAGGGGGTACGTATATATTCGATCGTTTCCTTTCCAGGTCATGTTAATGGAAAAAGTTGATGTGTACGCTGCGCGTGTAACTTCTCTTAACTTTGTCTCTTTAAGATGTACTTCACATTCGACATGGTCTTTTATGGAGGACTTCGTGTCGCAGATATGTCGACCGATGGACGCTGGTGTTTTGTAGCTCTGTGGGTGACACCCAGATCGCGTCCTTCAACAGTGCGTTGGTCATTGTTGAAACAACGGTTGGAAGATGTATGCCCGTCTGCTCTGGCTTCTATATTAACTCCTGTGTCTCCCCCTGTGCCGGAAGCCAAGAGGGTCCTGCTGCTGCAAGTCTGCTCGTCCGATCGGACAGGCCTCCTCCATGGTAATTTTTTCATTCTTTTCTCTCAATGTGTGCTGTTAACGGGTGGTTCTAGGATTTTCTTCCTATTTTACAGGAACATGATTATTGCGACTTGGCTCTTTTAGTATTTTAGATTTGCTCAACACTTGGCAGTTTCTATTTAGTTTTTCTTCTCAACCGACTTTGAACTCCTCATTTTGGGTATAGTGGTTGGTTGTCTCAATTTTTTTAATATGATATGACTGGTTCTTCAGATGTTGCACAAAAGTTGTGGGAAATGGAGTTAACTATACACAAAATCAAAGTATCAACCAGCCCTGATGGGAGAGCTGTTGATTTGTTTTTTGTCACAGACAATAGGTACTTTTCCTATTCCTAGTAATTTGCGGTGTCTTGACCACTGATTATATCTGATGCAATCGATTACAATGTTTACAAGGGCCTAGAGTGATGCTGGTTTTCACATTCACTGCGTCTCTGTACTCTCAAATGGAACGGATACCCTAGTCATCCCAAATTCTCTTGAATAATTGTACTCGTGGTTTTCAACTTTGATGGTTTCATGTATTCAGTCTTGCATTTTGCGGCAGAAACAAGCAGCCGTGGAAGAAAAGGGCGGAGGAAGTAACAAATCAGCTGAAAGAATTTTTGGGAGAGCCATGTTCACTTTGTGAGATTAGTCTTGCTGGATCTGAGTGTGGGGGTCTGACTTGCTTCCCTCTGCCTGCCACAATCACCAAAGATATATTTTACGAAGATCCGGCAACATTCGAAAAAGGAAATACAAAAAGTGAGAAAATTAACTCTAGAAGTGAGCATCATGCTAATGAAGTCGTTGTTACTGTCGAGAATAGCACCAGCCCTGTTCACAGTTTGGTTCAACTTACTTGTAAGAGCCGGAAAAGTTTACTGTACGACTGCCTCCGCACCGTGAAGGACTTCAGTTTGAAGGTTCGTGCTTCAAATTCAGTTACTTTTCTGATTTCTTTCTAAATTCTTTGACTTTTGAGGTAGCATTTTTATTTAGTTATTTCTTGAATCTTCTATTTGAATTGCAGTCATGTTAATGGATGAGATAAACATCAGGCGAGTGCCACACTAGAAAAGGAAGGAATTAGTAACTTATTCCAGAGCTTTTGCTGTTGAGATGGGCATGGTCTCACATGCACTAGTCCTCATATATACTATATTTGGATTTGACTGTTTTTTTTTTTTTTTTTTTAAGACCAGGTTCACTTGCTAATGTATACAGGTGGCACATGGGCGTATTGGCATGTTGGAGAATGGCAACTCTGAGATCAGTCTTTTCGTGCTGGGTCCAAGTGGACAGAGGATTACCAATGTGCAAGACCAGAAAAGTCTAGCTCAGTGCGTGGAAGAGGAAGTTGGGCATCCTGTGCGAATTAAGGTGGGGACGAGAGGACCTGACACAGAGTTACTTGTTGCCACTCCTATTGAAAAGTGCGGAAGGGGTCGACCTCGGGTTTTATACGACGTTACCCTAGCTCTGAAAATGCTGGACATATGTATATTTAAGGTATGCTCATTTTAACCAACTTTCAAATACCCAATTCAAGTTCATCGACATTTGATACACGTAGTGCCTCTTTCTATCCATTACTCCTAAAACTATTGTTCATTTCTCTTCCAAGTCAGAATTGCGAGTGCCTATATATGTACTGCAAAATTATAAATGCCGTTCTTAGTTTCTTGCTTTAATCCTGAAAATCCTCACCGCATTTCAGGCTGATATTGGAAGGCATGATTACAATGAAAAACGTTGGGAGATCTACCGTTTCCTGCTTGTGGATAGAGAAGAATTTTCCTTGACATGCGCAAGGATGCGCAACCTTATTGTGGATCAAGTTCGACATATTCTTCTGGGTTAAATACAACTTCATACCTTGAGACTTTTAATCTTCCATTTTAGCCAATCTTCTGAAGATACTGTACATCTCGGAGGATTTTGGCATGAGCAGCTATTCAAACCAGCTGCTCTGACATGGGCAGACTGCAAAGCTGTGCCAGAACGGCATGTTGGTGGAAACCATAAAGGATACATTGAAGAAACATTTTTCACAATGGTCACTTTTAGTCTACCTAATATTATCAAAGCCAAAGATGATATCATGATGGATTATGATCAAACTCCCACAGCTTGAATATTTTTGATTTAGAAATCAATCACAATTCTCCCTCCGATTACATCACCTGGTGCAAAGGGATAACCAGGGCTGGGGAAGCATGGGAGGTAAGACATCTGGTTGAATGGTATTAAAAAGGTATTGTAAAAGTATGTTTTTTCATGATGAAGTTCAAGAATTGTATTTATTCTCATTAGTTTAGTAGCTTTCTACCATTGAGAGTGCTTGGCTTTCTTTATGCACAAAGTTTTTAATTGTTAACATATTAAAAGGCTTGCAATCAAAAGAATTTGTTATCGCAAAGTGACTTATGATATGCCTCAACATGTGCAGCTTTTGAAAGATTTTAAGAAGGAAAGAAAAAGACATGTTTAATTTCTCATGTTGACTTAAAATTGAAAAAAAATATGTATGTGATTATACATAAAAGTGTATTTTTTTTGTTTTATAATGTATCATCTTTAGTCTTTCTTTACTCATAAATTAGTATGGAATTTAAATGTGCTACTATAAGAGGATAAACCATAAAAATAACAATACATATGTAAAGTTTAAAATGATCTATTGTAATAGTGATTTTACTCATAGTCTTATTCCTTGGTTTGTAAGATTAACTACTAGAAAACAACAAAAAAAATATTATAATATTAAAAAGTGCAAGACATTATTTAGTATTAGAAATTGAGAAAGATTTAGGTATTTATAATGTAAGCATAGCACAAGACATTTGGTTTTTACTTAATGAATTGATTATTTAACAACATTATAACACCAAATTTTTGATGTCATCTAATGATGCACAAATTCTAAATAATATCATCTAAATAAACTAAATGTAAAATTGATGTGGATTAATAATTTAATCTAATACATAAAAAGTGTAGTTGCTTCAAATAATATAATAGTTTAGCTTTGTAAATAGTATCTTATAACTAGTGCTATTAGTATGTATTAAGTGGAGTAAAGATTTATTTTAGTAGTACAATTTTTTATCCAGTATTTTTATTTTATTTAAGGAGTGTGAACTACACAAAAGAAATGCAAGTATTATGTGAGAACAATATCTACTTTGGTAAAAAGATAAAATAAAAATACATAAATTGTAATTACACAAATTCTGAATATACAAAAGTAATTCTTATCAAGACGTTGGTAGAAAAACATGATCAAAAAAATAAATATGAGTACGGGTATCCAACTATTAGAAGAGTAAATAAGCCATACATATGTCAATTTTTTTAAAAAATTCTGCTTGTACATTACCTAGTTCCAATTTTTACTCCATATTTTCATTAATCGTGTTCATTTCCAAAACAAAACTCTGCAGGTGTCCTGAAAGACTCACGTAAACGATCCACGAATCATACACCAGCTTGCATACAAACCTGGAAAGTATCATTCATTATAAGGAGATCTGCTTTGTTGTCATTTCGCAAGATACAGAAGTTTATTTCTGCTAGAAGTCGATACATGCTCTACTCTCTTAGTAGGTTCAAAAGGAAGAAGACATTCAGAGTCTTCAATACCTTCAACAAATTCTCCACAATTTGTAGTCCTGTTCAATTCTTACTGGACCCAACCTTACAAAACTTGAAACGAGAAGGCTTTAGCATTCACATCTCTTCGCTTCTTCCAAGGCTCAACCACAAAATTACCAAAGACCTCAACATTGGTATATTCTCCCAGTGTAGAAGCCTGCTATTATACAACTGAGAATTTCACAATTTCCAACCCCGCAGTAGCAATTTAACAACGCTTAGATGTCATGGCCTTCCGTGTAAGTCTTTCAGTGAAGTATTTCGATTTCTTCCTTGCACACCACAGCGTAAGAGATTACACCAGTCGTAACGTTGAATTGATTTTGCCAATGAGCGTGACTTGGTTGGGTTGTCATGTATACTCAAAGTAAGATACTACCTACTTAAACTTCCACGTTCTCTCAGGCCACCATGCTGAGCAATGTCTGCGTGTCCCGAATTATAAATATCACCCATCTTTGTGGGCTTTGTAGTTGCTGTGGCCTCTGCACTTGGTGAACTCCAGCCGGCAAATCCTAAAGTTTCACCTAGCAAATGGGGGCTCATGGTCGGGCTCAAACCAGCGTTTCCATTCATGAATGCAAGTTGTGCGAGTGAACCCTGGCCACCAAATTGTTGTAGCCGGACCCTAGCTAGCTTGCTTGCCAATTCCGAGTCTCCCACCTACAAGATAGACGTTGGTCAGATCTGAAGGCTTGTGGTCTCAACTTTCATATTTGTATTCCTAGAGGGGACGTTAAGATTCATATCTTAGAAGTGCGAAATTGGTTACCTTGTTGCTTGCACACAAGGCCACATCTCGAGCTGTGACAACACTTTTGACCCTCTCAAGCACATTCGATCGTCGTTGTGTCTTCACGTCTTCCTCGAGCGTCACATTATCATTCCTCAATTTGCTATTCTCCAACAGCAACTGATTCACAGTATTTACCAAATCCATCTTATCCATAGGAAGTCGGCCTTTCCTTGCGTGCCCTCTGAAGAACTGCGAATGCAAATTATTCCCTCAGACTGCCAACCTTTCAGAATCGACCTCAACTAAGAAAATCTATATTCCCTAGATGATCATAAGAGGAAAGTTGGATGTAGTAACATGCGACAAGAATAGGTCACCTTCTGATTCACTTTCACCATTTCGAGTTCCGACTTTAATGCCTCGTTTTCCTGCAGCCATTAAGACCATCAAACAGGTTTAGATGTTTCCCTGAAACAAATGCAATATCTCTAATTAAGAGTAATTATCAGATGTGCAAGAGCACAAACCTTTCGCATGTGATATATGTTTGTTACAAGTTGAGAACGGGCCGAGGTTTCATCCTTAAGATTTTCTTCGAGTTGACAACGCGATGCTTCAACAGTCGCTAGCCGTGCTTGTAACGACTGGCACTCTCGTCGAATTTCATTATAGCTAGCCTGTTGAGTAGTCTCCGCTTGTTGATATGCCTTCAACATCGCCTGCATCTGCTTAAATTTTGTAGAATATAGGTCCTGTTGCAGAGTCATTTGCCAATGTAATTTCAATATGCTTGGGGTATTGTGACCATGCTGCACGACAATAACTGATCATGTGCCAATCCTAGTTAATAGATGACGTAGAGATACGGAATCGTACCTGTAACGCGTGAATCTCATGCCTTAGGAGATCCTTTTCAACGTGACTCTCATGGTCACGGGATGCTTCTTGTTGAGTGGGTGCTGCCTCGTGCTGAATCGAAGGCGATTCTGTTGCCTTTGCCAACTCAGCTCTAAGCTCCTCATTCTCTTGTTTCAACTGTGCGAAATGTATGATATCAGTATAGGAGCTGCTCGGGTTAGTTTTTCAGAGCACTCCAAGGAATATCTGCCAGAATTGGCTGGGGCTGTGGCAGACGCATACAAATGGATTAAGGCCACGATCACAGGAATGAATGACTGGTTACTAACCTTGCCACGGATAAGAACAAGAGTGTCGTTCTTTGCATCCACGATTACACGAAGCAATGCAATCCCAGCCTCCAACTTTTGCAACTGCGAATCCATGCCTTTCGAGAAGGAAGTTTAGAACATGTGACCAGTAAAAATGTTAGCATTTAACAGTTTCTCGAGTTTGAATCCAGAAACGAAACACCACGGTAAATATTGCTGCGCTTAGATGTGCACCTCGTCTAGGAGTTTGTTTGGTCCATCCGGGTCATTTGCTTTGCTTGATTTGTTGATCTGACCGTTGACGACTTTGAAATTTGGTAGCACATGTCTTTGGAACGCTTCCACACTCTGCAAGATGGTGCTAGTCATAGCCTGGCTCTTGGCGATGATGGTTTCGAGGATTTGCACCCGTCCACCATGCGTATTTTCGTCGTCTTCAGTTGTTTTCCTCATTCTCTCAACCTCGGCCAAGAGTTGCTCCTTCTCATTGACAATCTTGTCCTTCTCTGCGAGGGCTTGAGAAAGGCTCGAGGATGTAGGCTCTAACAACCCCTTTAATCGCTCCACCTCTCCTTTCAACTGTTGTGTGGATGCATTCACCAGAGCAGACACTTCTACATCTCGATGTGCCCGCAGCCTTTGTAGCTCGAGTCTCTATTGGTGAGATGCAAATCAAAAAGTAAATGAGTTTTGGTGGTACTTTCCAATAAGTGAATGGAAATTTATATTACAAGGAATACTTGGAAATTTTTAACTTGATCTGTGTTTCAAGACAAAGTACACACTTGGTTTTTCTCACGGTTGATGAGGTCATTGAGCTGAAAACGTAGAATGTCATTCTCCTGTTGTAACGATTTTGTCATCATTTCGGCCTCCGCTACACGCAGATTGGAAGACCTCGTTACCTGGGATCGAACAGAAAATATCTAAAGATGTAAGCATGATCAAGCATAATTCCTGTCCACATCAATCAATTGCTCAGCAAAAAGAACCTATTTACAAAATAACTTCACTGGATCAAATCATACCTGATTCATGATTGCAACGCTATTGAATCGAATATCAAAATTTGTTGCTTAATTGCTGAAAACAATGCACATGAAGTTGAGATCTACAGTCTTTGAGTTTTCGCAACGTAAAAATGCAAGCATTACTTTCATATGAACTCAGAATTCACACTTAAACACATACATGGAAGCTATTATTCTTGCAGATTGCAACTTAGTGAAGACGGATAGTCAGAAATATAGCACCTTTTAAGTGAAGATTGAATCAACAGTTGCTGTAGCTGTGTTCATCAACTTTTAGGTCCCATGTTTCGAATAATGTTATTACGGCCTCAGCTATATTGTGCGAATTTGGTAAACTTGAAAATTTGCGACGATCTGGTAGACTGAGGGTGACTGGAGACGGAATTAGGGTGTGGGTCAACTATTCTCAGAAATGGAAGATTTAGAATGGTAACAGCAAGAAGCTGCGGTTCAGTAACTTGAGAGAATCAACAGATTTCAGCCTAGAAGAGGAGTTTGTTGGGGACACGACGAGAAAAATGGCAAGGATTGATGGTTTCATGGCAGATGGAAGGAGCTTCGCCTTCCCTCCTAAAATTAATGTTTCTTTGATGGAGCTGAAAAGCTTGAACAATTCTCGAATCCCTGTTCCTGTATGCTGTAAAAGCCATGATGACTTAAGCAACTTTCTTTGCACCACTTATTGTCATGTCATTCTGCTCTCCACCTCTACAGTAGCCATCGCTAATTCTGATATAACATCACGTCACAAAGGAAACAAATGGGAGCAAGCAATGTGCCACCCACAAACTGCAGCCATTATTAACAGATACTCTAACACACAATTTTCTCTTCGTATGCTCCTGTTATGCCTCTCAAGCTCCGAAAACCGCCAAATCACGTGCACATAAAACGTTACACGCACAAATCCTACTCCTCAGAGGCTTCCCGCATCTTCATCCCTCTCATGCAAGACCAATTACATACCAGGAGTCTCCAACTGTAGGTATGGTATTTCAACAAAATTTTGGAGAAGAGGGGTACGATGAGTAATTGTGGCACAGGAGGAGTACCAAGGCAATCGCGAGCTTGCGAAGAGCATGAAGACGCCCACAAAGGCCAACAACCACAAGGTCGCAGTTCACCGCCACTACAACTCAAATGTAGCCAATCTTCCGAGGAGGCGAAGCTCGCGACTGGAATAACCATAATAACTTCCTCGCAACGGCCGCCCGCAGGTCAAATTCCTCCGCGAACCCACATGAAGCAACTCCTCCTCGCAGATCCTGTCGATGAAGAAGCACAGACTCGCGTCTATGGAAGATTTCTTGGCTCCGTAGCCCACACCCACACACACACCCACCCACACACACACACTCCCACAAACACACAAACAAACAAACAAATAAACAAAGCTTGCAAAGTGCCTTTGCTCGGCAGCACCGAACAGAATCAACACCCACTGATTAACAGTTGTTATTAATTCTGTCATTCACTTCTACCACATTCCGCTAGATTAGTGTCACTTGTGAAATTAGCTTAACAAACCCTTGTTCGTGTTACACTAAGTGTGAAACAATATAATGTTGTGTGTTATTGATGAATAGGTTTTATGATGATTTGTGTTACGTGGTGGTTATGGTTTGTTATAATAAGGGTTAGTGGCAATTGTGTTGAGGTTTATCAAAAATGTAGTTAAGATTTGTTGCAACTCGGATTAGTGATAGTTAGAGATGAATGAATGATTAAAATGTGTAGTTAAGATATTTTAAAACAAAAAGAAGTCATAATGTTACAAATAGATTCAATGTATTCATGTTTTTATTTATTTTGACTTAAATTAAGTATTGAATGAGTCTTCAACATTTTCAAAAATAGTTGAATTTCAAGTGGGCATAAGTCTACACATGTTTGTATTATTGAATGTAAAATTATGGTTACATCTTGTTATGGAATAGTTTATGAGATTTTTTTTATTTAAGTTCATTTATTTAAATACTACTCTAAAATGTTGAATGTGTTTGTAAATAAAATAGTCTAAAGAATTAGTTCTAAAATTGAAAGAGCATAGAATTCTAAAAATATTTCATTTGAATTTATATAAAGACATTTAAATTGAAGAACAATTGAAAAGGTTTGGATCACATTAGGTGTTTTAACAGGATTTGAAGCATAAAGGTTATTATATTTTTTTACATAAAGAGAATTGTAATAAAATTCAAAATATATTATATTTTAATATTTAAATAATATGATTAGATATTATAAGATATTTATTTTTATTTTAGAAAAAATATAATGAAGTTGATGTCTTATATTAATATTTTAAAATTAAAAATATATATATATATATATATATATATATTTAAAGCTACTATTAGATAATTTTTATTTATTTTAAGCACCAACAATATGAATATGTAAACTTGAATTTGTTTATACTTTCATGAATCATTGATTAACTGAATTCTTTAAATTTTGTTCCATATTTTTATTTATCAAAACATCTTTACATTTTTTAATAATTTAAAATTTAAAATTTTAAATCTTCTCAAATATATACATTTAGGTTTCTTTCATTTTGGATATCATCCAAATTTCAGAATAAAGTTTATTTTTTGATACAATTATTGTCAATTTAGTGTGTTTAAAACTATACTACTCATTTTTGTTTCATAAAGAAATTTTATATTAAAAAATATTGGTTTTTCTTACCACCTCAATTTCTTTATTGATAGATTGTTTGAAAAATAAATTTTTCTTGTGTATGCTTAAGTGTAATTTTATTTCTAAGTAATATATTCAAAAAAAAAAACTTATTTATTTAATATTTTAAAATAAAATTTCTAGTTATTTAAAAACTTATTATTATTATTATTATTATTATTATTATTATTGTGCAATACATCTCTTATTGATCATAATTATTTCTTCAACAACAAATTTACTTACATCTATATAAATCTTGGAGGTTTTATTTTAACACACACACACACACACAAATATATATATATATATATATATATATATATATATATATATATATATATATCAATGGTTTTGACAATATAAACTTAAATTGTCTAAATATTTAAAATCATAATTATTTAAAATTTAATTAATCATAATTACTAAAATATTATATATATATATATATATATATATATATGATAATTATTTTTATATATAGTTGGTTATTACTACTTTTAAATTACTTTTATATTTTTTTTTATCAAGTTTGATGCTAAAATCTATAATAACATGTCTAAAAAATCATATCTCAAGTTTTGTCAACTCACATTTCTTATCATTTCAATAGGCTTGATTGTTTCTTTAATTCCAAGTATTATATTAAAGTATTTGTTATTATTTAACAACGGTAATGAATACACCAATATGATATTAACTTAAATGATTACAAATTCATTGCAACCATTTTAGAAATAGTGTTTTTATAGCTTTTTGGAACTAATAAAGCTTTACACAATCTGAATGCATAATAAAAAAATATCTTGTATTTTTCTCTATTTATAATTAAAATTTAAAGATATTTCTCTATTATTAAATAACTTAAATTTTAAAGATGAAGCAAATAAAGTAATAATTTCTTCTTATTATTAATCTATAATTAGTAAAGAAATTGATTGATGAATAGAATATTATCTTATTTGATATTAATTGCTAATTGTATAAATTTTAATATTTATGTTAATAAAAATTTATTTCTTGCTATAAAATTTGAATTTTTTTATTGATGTACAAGTTACATTATATTTATTATATATAAACTGATTTTTTTCTAAAATTAGATCTAAATTATTCAATAAAGAAAATTCTTCTAGAAATTATAAAAATTAAGAAAAAATCTTATTGAATAAATTTTTAATAATTCTAATCTAACATACATAGGTTGGATAATTAAGAAATTAGAAGATCTTATAGAAGTTTTCTTAGGACTACTAGGCTTGTGGTCCAAACTTATAGTTATAGGTTGCTTCCAATGTATCTTTCTAAAGGTGAGATACTTATAGCACTAGTTTCAATTATTACTTAGCTTATCTATACAAGTCAAAATATCTAATGTGCATCCAAGAAACTTCATAGAAGCTTCTTTAAAAAAAAATTTATCTTCCAAATATTTGTCTATGTACTTCTATTTAAATAATATATATTTTTATTATATTTGGAGCTCAATCATCAAGTTATAGATTGCTTCTAACATGGTTTTTTAAAAGTAAGAAAATTATAAAATCAGTTTTAATACCCATGTGAAAAATCAATAAAAGTCTAAATATCTAATTTGACACTAAAAAACTTCTTTAAATCTTTTTAAAAAAGATGTTTGCTATCTAATATATTCTATCTATTTCTTTTGATTTTTTAATTTTTTTAAAAACAATATAGGCATCTATTACACCACTTGTATTCTTTATTTTAACATTTTATTTTAATCTTAATGTTTTTTTTTGGATAACATAAAATTCTTTCAAACAAGAAGTTCTACAAAGAATATATTAAATAATATATATTATAATTTAAATAAATATAATATAACATAAAAGGAATAATAGTTACATAAAAAAGCTAAATTAATAAAATAAAAATATATGTTTTATTTGATAAAGATGATTTTTAATTGATTCTTTAAAATTAATATCAAAAAATTATATATATTTATTTGAAATGATTATTGATTATTTTTTATTTTTTTATTTTTTTTCAAAACTACTTTATTTAGATTTTAAATCAATAATATAAAAATTATTATAAGAAATAATTAAAAAATTGTGTGTAATTGTTTTTTGGATCTTCTATATAAGACTAAATATTTGAAATTAAAAAAATATTTTAAAATCTACTAAAATATAATATGTTAATAATATGGTGGCATCTAAAAAATATATGTGGCTATAAGATATTTATCAATTTTTTAATAGAAATTCGTTTAAAAATGCATAGCCTAAAATATATTATAATATTTTTTTTTAAAAAAATAGTCTATTATATATATATATATTGATTTGTGGAAAAAAAATTAGAAAGTAAACATTAAACTAAGTTTATATTAGTTGAATTGGCATTCTTTGTTAAGTCAAGTCTTGTGAGTGTTTTTAAGAGAAATAAGTCTTTTTAGTAGAGTTTTGCTAGAATATTATGATTTAGCCATTAAATAAAGTTTAGGGATTTTTCTACATACTTATACTCTTAGATTCTTCTTTTGTAGGATTTGTATGAGAGATAGCTTGACTTGTAATATTTAAATATTTTATCTTTCACTTGAGAATATATTTGTTATATTGTTCTTATTTGGTTGTAGACTTGATATTAATTTTTGGTATTCAATCTGTTACGTATGATAATATTTATTTACACAACAAGTTGAATTTAATAAATATTGAAGTCAAAACTTATAAAAGTCATTTGATTCCTTTTGGAATGTCACTATTATTAATAATATTAATGCAATAAAAAACTATTGTAGTATCCTAAATGTAAAAAATTATTTTATTTTATTCCTCAAATAAAATAATAGAGTGTTTGAAGTATAATGTATAAATAAGACATGATTAAATTAAAATAGAATTAATTAATTAATAAACTTATAAATATATTATATTTATAGATTAGTGTTTTATAATTATTGCAAAGGTTTTATGAGATTTGTCAATAGGAGCTACAATATGCATGTACATATGTATGTCAAGGATATACATAGATATTCTAGTAAATATCTAAATGATTAAATAGAAGTAAGTAAAAGTAAGTTAATTTCATAATACTTTTTAGAAAAGCTTTTTAGAAGCTTTATAGATGCTACTTTGACTTCATATGTATTTGTAGTTGATTGATAGATTAGAAACTTGATCAACAAGTTAATCACGTATTGATAGCTTGCGAAAGAAGCTAATTATGTAGCACACATATAGAAAACTTGCCTTACAAGTTAAGATACGTGTCTTGCAAAGTCAACACTTTTTAGAGGTCTTATAAGATATTGCCACGTAGCTCCTAGTTAAGAGTATATAGGAGGCAAGAATGAAGCCTTTTTCACTCTTGTCAATGCCTTTTTAGTCTTTAGTCTTGTTTTAAGTCTTTTTAATCTTCTTTTTTTTGGCAATAGCCATTCTAGTTCAATATTATATCATTTTTGAGTGATTTTTTAGTTCATTTCAGTGACATAAGAGTGTATTCAAGATTTTCTTTCTTCAAGATTCATATCCTTGATAGTTTGATAAGAGTTCTAACTTATTGTTTTTATCTTGTTTTAGAAGTGGGTGAATTATCCCACTTCTATTGTTGTATTTTGAAGGTTGTGGATTGCCCACCTTTAAAAAATAAAAAATCTTATTTACTAATACTAATCTTTTCTTCAAAAATAATGGAT